TGTTCAATAAATAACCAAATTAAAAATTAAATTATAAGAAATTAATTATCTTTAAAGTCCATATCATCTAACTAAAGCTGAGAAAAAGTGATTCAAACGTTGAACCCAACACAATAGAAAATTAGCGAAAAATATTGTGATTTTCGACCAATTTTATTAAATGAAAAAAATAAAATTCAACGTGCCAATCCATATATATATATATATATATATATATATATATATATATATATATATATATATATATATATATATATATATATATATATATAAAGCGGGACCGAAATTGCGTAACTACGAAAGTATAGGAAGCAAAACTGCAAATATACAAAACTTATGTGGCCAAAGTGTGAAAACAAAAGAGTGGAGACGAAACATGACATATATTGCGGGGAGAGTAATCTGCAAATTTTTTGTTAGGTACGAATTATTTTTTTAATTTTTTAAAACACATGGACATTTTATCTAAAAATATGTACAATGAGCTTTTCTATAAATTACATGGACAAATTTTGTAATATATTTTCTATACATGGGTCAAACCTACCAACATACAAAAATCTTAAACATAAGGATTGTTTATGTAAAAAAAACCTCATATGGACCTTTTTTGTAAATTATAAAACTATAGGAAGTAAATATGCCAATATTGAAAAGATTTGTAGCAAAAATCTAAAATATATAAAATCTACTCTAAGGTCATTTGTAATTAATATATAGTATAATTTTAATAAGATCTAAAAAACATAACCTTAATTCTATTTTATAAATATATTTCGTTGATACACCACTTCTCACTCATGAACCATAATCCCATTCGACTATTTACATGATTTAACTTTCCTCATTGTAAATTCTTATTTTATTTATTTGTATTATTGTATAAATTTTTATTTGTTATAACTATAGTAGGTAAATGGGTCGATCTGGGTTAAGTTCGGGTTCAAATCATTTATTAATTGAGTCACATATTTCAACTCAACCTAACGTGTTTGTGTAAATGAGTTGATATTTCAATTCAACCCAACATTTTAGATAAATGAGTTGTCACCAGGTTTCTCAACCCAATCTATTAAATAAATGGGTTAAAGTTGGGTTAACCAATTTAAAATTAAACAAAGTAAATAAATTAACTAAAGATTACACCATTTAAATTAGTTTCAAACTTAAATAAAATTTCAAAGTGCGACAACAAACATGATCACAATTCACAAATACAAATAAATACTTGAATAAAATTAAAAATATTTAATTTCGTAGGGATTTTGGAGAGATAGAAATAAGGATTGCAATTATTTAAAACGTAAGTAATAATACAACATTATAATTTATAAATTAATATTTAGATTAATACATTATAATATTTAAATAATATTAAATTAAATATATATTATAGTTAAATAAGTTGGTGGGTTGAAAACGAATTGATAATTTTTATCCAAGTCAATCTATTTAATTAAATAGGTTAGAGAGATTGATCATTTAACTTAAATGAATTGAAAGTTTTTAACCCAACCTACTAATTTTGGGTTGAGCTGACAGGTTTTGTTGATTTTTGTTGCTCTAGTTATAACTAATAAGTTACACTAATCTATTAATTTCTATAGGACAAAGGGATTCTAACTTGAAGAGTTATGTCGAGCTATACTAGACATGATCAGTGATAGATGAAGGTTGTGTTGAAAATGAAAATCAAGTTATATAGAAGTTAAATAGAGCTATAACAGAGATAATCAATGATAGATAAATGTCGCGCTGAACAATTTATTAGTAGAAGTTACATAGAAGTTAAATATTTGTAATGTTATTTGAACAATTTATTAGTATTTATGATTGTATTTTATTCGAATTTTGATTTTTTTTTGGATTTTGTATATTTAAGTAAGTTAATTTTATTGTTTATCTTATTTAAATCTTAAATTCTAAATGGGTCAACAAGATTCAACCTATTTGTTTAACAAGTTATGTTTGAAAAAAAAACATCAATTCGATGACAACCAATTTATTTGACATGTTAGGTTTGATTGGAATTCTCAACCCATTAAATTAAATATCTTGGACTGACTTTAGATTCTCAACCCATTTAATAAATAAGTTGAATGAGAACTCAACACAAATCGACTCATTATCAGCTCTATATCTAACATATATTTCGTGAATGTTACAATTTTATAGGGATAATATACATAAATAAATAAAATTTTCAAATAAACCAACAAACTAAAATGAACGCAAGGAGAACATCATAACTTTCAAATCCTTGTATTGATGCAAAATAATGAGAAAAGTTAAAACGACACCTCCTTTTTTTCTTTTTAGAATGGCGGGTTAGTATATGCCCGGGATAGAACCTAGGACCCCATTGTTAGTAACTCATTGTTAGACATCTTGTTAGCTAAGTGGGCTAGCCCCAACTTGTACCTCCTTTTTATTTACAAAAACAACCTGATTAAAAATCATTTCAAATATTGAAACTAAATCATAAAAACCTATATGGTGGAAGTCATAACTTATAACAATTTCACAAACCGATTTGCTCATAAATAACCAACACCACTAACCTACCAATCGAGCATCCACTACCACATTCACCGTACCAACCCCTATTCACTCGCCTAACTGATAACCATCACAAGTCATGGCTCCTCATATTTTCATTTTCATTAGGATCATACCTTTTTTTAGAATAGTTGATACAAGATAAACTAGCAAGTGGTTAGAGAAATAACAATTATATCAAACAACAAGATTGGGGTTTTAAAGCTACCCAATCCAATTAGGTTTTTCTTTTCTACTTCTATTACTAATCCAAAAGAACGATTGGTTCACTATAATATGAAACAAATCAACCATTTTTGTTTCTTTTCTTACCAACAAAATTACATTGCAAAAGCACCACAAGCACCACCAAATCATGAAACAAGACACCTACAAGACTTTCTTAATCGTATACTTCATGCGTGTTGTCTACATCCACATAAGCCAAAACCTTGTATTGATCCAAGAAAGGGATATTCAAATCCGCCAATGACAAAATTGCATTCAGATACAAACAACAACATCATAAGTAAACAAACACATGGTTTATGGACTCTATATCTCCATCACATAACGAGCAACGCACATTAGGAACATCAACACCTTTATCAACCAAGTTATCTATCGTAGGAAACTTATTTAAAGAAAGCCTCTAAGAAAGAATACTCACCTCAATAAAGCTAAGACTACTCCACCTAGTAGGAGTGTAATTAGTAATAGGGTGTACTTATCAATCCATTATCTAGTTGTAGAATTGAAAAAAAAAACACAGAACTATCTAATTCGCAGTACCATCGATCATTATGATTCGACATAAAAAATATCACCAACAAGAGCGAAGGACATCCCATTGCTCGACCTCAACCCCTCCCCTTGAGAACTGACACATTGACAAAGTCCAATTTGATTGCTCCATTTTAGCCTTAACCGAAACATCCTTCTTCAACTGATCAACTACATATCAAAGATTGTAGGAACTGGACTTTGAGTGGTTGATCTCCCCAATGTTTTAAAAACCGGTTTTTTAGTTGAACCGGTATCGTGACCGGTTTCCGGTTCGACCAGTTTAACCGGTTCAACCGCCGGGTGAACCGGTTACTTTAATTTTCATATTTTTTCCTATTTTCCTACACACATACATACTACATACAGACATAAATCAAGAATTTGACGTCCATAAGTTTAAACATTAAAAATACACATAAAACAACTTGTAAATCAATCCAAATACATTAAAAAACACAAAACCATAAGTTTTACATCAATTCTTGTGTTTTTATTCAATTTAACCGGTTCAACCGGTTTTTTGTAAAACCGGCCGGTTCATTCCGGTTCAGAAATAGACATAAAACCGGTGTTGGTTAAACCGCTCACTTCTCCGGTTCCCGGTCCAACCGGTTCGACCGGCCGGTTCAAACCGGTTTTTAAAACATTGGATCTCCCAACTAAACATCACACTATGAAAGCTCGATAAAGACCTATCACCAATCCTTCTCTTGCAATAAGAAAAAGGATTCATGCGTTTATCAGATAAATTAATTAGCGTTTTAAGAATGTTTATCCACATAGTAGTAACTTTGTATATCGACACAAATAGACCAATACCATCACCTGATATTGGTCTATGTATAACCTTAACCAATGTAAACCAAAAAGCGTTAGAGTTATTCAAAAAGTGCCAAACCTACTTAAACAAAGAGCTTTATTTTACGCAAATAGACAGCCAACCCCAAAACTTCCATATTTTCTACCTACCAACACTTTACGCCACTCAACCCAAGTATATATATATATATATATATATATATATATATATATATATATATATATATATATATATATATATATATCTCTTCCAAGTCACCCACAAGAAAATAAATGGTTTCACAAAAATAAATCCTTTTGATAACCAAATATGGGGTCTTGAAAAAAATACATGACAAAGTATCAAGACACGCATTTCCTTTACGATGCCTTTCCCCTCCCTTTAGATAACCAAATATGGGGTATTGAAAGTTGTGGCCTTTCATTGATATATTTCTTTAAACTTTGATGAATTTTCTTGAATTATTTTATGACTACAGGATATATTTTACAATCGGAGACCTAACATTCCACACCAAGAAGTCTCACAACATGCATGTACTAATGATTTCATACTTTTTTCATATAATCCCTTATGCTTTATTATGTCTGTTAAATTATTATAACACCTTTAAACTAGGTATTTCACAAGATTTTGCTAAAGCAACTTTATATACTTTGACATTTTTCAATGGAAAGACCCTATGCAATTTTATACATCCAATAGGGTATTTGTTAAAAATCCAAGTTTTGAGTGTTTTCTATAAGTTTAACAAGTATGAAAGTAGAGGGTTTCCCCTAGATGCAAAGTACATGCAAGTGGGTGTAAGTGAAAATATATATATATATATATGTCTCATAAAATAAGCAACTCCTTTCTTCTTTCTTTTTTCTCCTTGCTCGTCGTCTCTTTTGTTCGTGGGGCGGGAAACTGGTTCTTCCGGGGAAAATAGAGCTCTCTCCTCCCTCCAAAAAGCTCACTGCTACTTCAATTTTGAAACCCTAGTTACAATGTCACACTAATCTTTGAAAATCCCCAAATTTCCCAAATCGAATGGCATTTTCTTCTCAATTGTTATCACCAAACGCCGATAACAAGCAGAGAGAAGACGCCGAAGAAGAAGCGCCGCCGGAGGAGCAGAAAGTACTGGTTCAATCGGAAGAAGATCATCGTCATCACCATCGCGAGGCGAGGTACGTTGCCCTTGACCTCGTGTACTCAGCTACATCCCCTTGCAGTTACGCGAATGTCATGTCTAAGAAGGTGAAAGCTAGGAAATACTCCATTTTAGGGGTTCATAAAGATGCCATCTCCGTGGATCCAAAGTCATCGCCACCGAAACCACCTGTCATTTATTTCTACTCTCGCAGTCGCCGTCGCAAAAGGAGTGATAGTTTCCATGGCACTTCTGTTTATGATAGTTTTCGTTCGAATCCAAATATAGTTTCTGCTGTTGTACCGAAAGTTGAGGATGTTGAATTTGATGGCGAAGATCGGGAGGTGAGGTCTATTGGGGTCTTGGAAAATTCTAGTAACAAGAAGAGGAAGACGAGTCAAGAGCTTATCAATCTAGGGCTCAATTCAGTTTGTCTTGATGCTCCAAGATTGAGAGAATCATCTCGAAAACCTAACAGAACTGATGATGCTAGCGCTAGCAGTGGCCGCAGAAGAAGCAAAAACAATGATAACAGAAACAATGACGACAAAAACGTCTCCCACAAAAACAGTGGTGATGGAACTGAAGCAACTGAGACTGAAGATACAAATAAATCCACCACCAATGCAAGTCGCACCAAGAGATGGGTGAGGTATGTTGTATTCAAAGAAATTCCATTTATTTTGTTCAAATTACTACAAAAATGGTAAGCTATATACCAGCTTCTGATCTTGGAAACAGGCTGACATTTGAAGGTGTGGATCCCCAGAAATTTCTTGGATTAGAATGCAAGGCAAGCCTTGATTCTTATACCTGTTTCATATAATAAATTTAATGTTCCCTCATCTTACACCTTTGGGTATTGAATTACTGAAGGTTTACTGGCCATTAGATGCTGATTGGTATTTTGGCCGAATTGCAAAGTATGACTCAGAAAGCCATCGTCATCATGTAATGTTTCTTTAATCCCTGTTTTGCAAATTGCAATTGCATACACAAAAGCAGTTCTTTACAAAGTTATATATGGTTTTCTTGATAAAATAGGTTGAATATGAAGATGGTGATGATGAGTGGGTTATCTTATCTAAAGAAAGAATTAAGTTCAATGTGTCTCCGGATGAGATAAAAAGTCTAGAGTTGACTTGCGATCTTCATTGTTCAGAAACAGATGATCTTGATGTCAATGAGATGATTGTACTTGCTGCTAATCTGGATGACTGTCATGATATTGAGCCTGGGGATATCATATGGGCCAAAATTACTGGTATGCACATTCAGTTGTAAATATGATATATAATATGAGAGAAAAGTTAACATGGTATAAATACTTGACATATGTTATAGGGCTAAATGCAAAGCATATCAGTGTACTTTCATGTACTAGTGTATTTACCCTCCTACTTTCACCTTTTTCTATTATAGCATTGCACTTTTAACTATCATCTTATCAAGGGATTGTACTTTGAAAAATAAAAATCTATCCAATTATAGCATTATATTTTTCTTTTATAGCAGTGAAAAATGCTTTGTTTGTGGATGACATTGCTACAATTGAGTAGATTTATCAAAGTCTAATGCTGTAATATGAAGAAATGAAAGTGGGATGCTATAAATAATAAGCAAAATAATGAAAGTACATTGCTATTTCTTGCATTTAGCTCTATGTTTTATTTAATTATGCTTCTGGTGTTTGTTGTTGAATGTTGATACAATACAGGTCATGCTGTGTGGCCAGCAATTGTGTTAGATGAGTCCTGTGTTAGCATTCGTCGAGGTTTAAAAAAGATTTCAGGAGAAAAATCAGCACTTGTGCAATTTTTTGGCACCCATGATTTTGCTAGGTTTCCATCTTCTATACATATAAAATATTCAACTATATTTGTAATTTCTTGTTCTAAGTGTAACACATCCTTATATATTTTCTGATATCCAGGGTTAAAACAAAGCAAGTGATCTCATTTCTTAAAGGGCTTTTATCTTCTTACCACCTGAAGTGCAAGAAATTGGATTTCATTCGGAGCTTGGAAGAAGCAAAAACGTAAGTTGTTTTCTTTAATTTTGGACTGAAATTCAAGAAAACATATTTGATATTTGTTGTGTTTTGAATTTTCAGGTATCTTAGCAGACAAAGACTTCCAAAGGGTATGTTACAGCTAAGAAATGGTGTTGGCAATGATATTGGAGCTGAAAGTGAAGAGGATGAAGGTAGTGGTGGCTCAAAGAAGAGGTGTTTGAGTAGTACTGAAATAGTACAGAAAAAAATCAAGGGTTCTAAAAGTTGCCCTTTTATAGTAGGGGATCTTGAAGTATTAAAGCTTGGTAAATAATCATGTTTATAATGAAATGTCCTTACTCCTTATAAGTTATATCTGTACTCATTTATTTACAAACCACTGACAGGTAAGATGGTTAAAGATGTGGATTGTTTTGATGATGAGAAATCTATTTGGCCTTTAGGTTATACAGCTACAAGGAAGTTTCCTTCATTATCAGGTTATCTTTTATTAAATAGACTAATAATATTTACTTTGTTAACATGATTCTTTCATTTAACATCTCTTGTTTTTCTTGATTTCAGATCCAAGTGTATTTTCTGTATATAAGATGGAAGTGCTGAGAGATACTTGCACAAAAACCCAACCTGTGTTTAGAGTTACAACAGATGATGGAGATCAGGTAGGGCTAATTCTAAATGCAATAACATACTTGCATTTCTTTCTATTACACCATTTTCTTTCTTATTACAATTTACAACATTATAATCTTTGTATATCTGTTTTGTCATGCAGTTTGATGGTCCAGATCCTTCATCATGCTGGAATAAAATTTATGAAAAAATAAGAAAAATACATTCAAGTAGTTATGATGAAGGTGCATCTATGAGCTTCTTCAAGTCGGGTGCTGATATGTTTGGTTTTTCTGATCCTCACGTGTTGAAACTTATACAGGTAAGTACTTCACCTAGAATTTATCTGTATTAGGAAACCAAAATATCTATTATTTTGTTTTGTTTTTTTTAATCAGTGTTATTTGTAGGGGACATCAAATTCAAAGATGATATCAGGGAGCTCACTCAGCATGCCAATTGGTTATAGACCTGTTCATGTTAAATGGAAGGATCTTGATAAGTGCAACGTCTGTCACATGGATGAGGTGAATGTTTTTCCTTTTTTCTTTTCAATTTGCTGAATTTACCAAATAAACCCTAAACCCTAACACAGATGATTGTTTTTTTATTCAGGAATATGCCAACAATTTGTTTCTGCAGTGTGATAAGTGCAGAATGATGGTGAGCATATTAGTATTACAACTCAAAATCTTATTGTTTATTCAGAAATATGAATATGAATGATACATATCTATTTCCATGAAAGGTTCATGCAAGGTGTTATGGGGAACTGGAACTTGTTGATGGAGTCCTTTGGTTATGCAACTTATGTCGCCCAGGGGCACCTGAATGTTCTCCACCCTGTTGCCTTTGTCCAGTTATAGGTACTTGTTTATTAGTTTATACTTTATAATAATGATAATAATACTAATAATATATGATATCATATGTCAACTTATTGTTTTTTTAGGAGGTGCTATGAAGCCTACAACAGATGGAAGGTGGGCTCATCTAGCATGTGCCATGTGGATACCAGGTTTACTTGCTGTTTGTTTTTTATACGTCTTGTTTTCTGCATATTAATTTTAGCTCATTTAACATCTTATCTCTTTCAGAAACTTGTTTGTCTGATATCAAGAAAATGGAGCCAATTGATGGGCTGAATAGAATTAGTAAGGTAATTCCTTTTTCAAGACATTATTTACATGATTACATCCACTAAACACAAGAAAGGTAAAGGCCCTTAAATGATTATTTATTTTCCTATGTATTTAGGATCGTTGGAAGCTTTTATGCAGCATCTGTGGTGTTCCATATGGAGCTTGTATCCAGGTAACCCCTTGTTATATTGCTTAGATTGCATTGCATTTAACTGTACATTTTTTCTATTTATGAATTATGATTCAGTTTTTTTTTTCTTCATATTTCTGGAATCTCTCTCTGCTGCAGTGTTCAAACAATGCATGTTATGTTGCATATCATCCGCTTTGTGCTCGTGCTGCTGGATTTTGTGCTGAGGTAAAATTGTTTTTACTTCATTTCACTTGGTAAGTAAATGGGAAATAAGGGGATTTATATTGTGTGTTTTCCATTATATGTGGTATATAGCTTGCAGATGCGGATAGACTGCAAATGGTTCATATAGATGAGGATGAAGAGAATCAATGCATTCGTCTATTGTCCTTTTGTAAAAGGCATAGCCCTAATCCTTCTGTTGAACGTGTTGTTTCTGATGAACGAATGGGTCAAATATCAAGTCAAGGTTCAGATTATGCTCCTCCACTGAATTCTTCTGGCTGTGCTCGATGTGGTAACTTTTTTGATAAGATAATACTTCAATTAAAAATGAAAAGAAGTCAACGTTAAGTTAAGCCTCTCTTTTGATTGGTTTTTTTGGAAATGTTGATAGAGCCTTATGATTATTTTGGGAGAAGAGGAAGAAAAGAACCTGAAGTTGTTGGTGCTGCATCTTTGAAGCGAGCATATATGGAGAACAGACCATATTTGGTGGGAGGCTTCTGCCATCATGACTCCTTAACCAATGTGTCATCTTCTCATTCTGATTCTGTTTCTCATACAAGCATATTTTCTATGTCTGAGAAGTATATATACATGAGGACAACATTCAGAAAGAGACTTGCATTTGGTAAACTAACTCTTCATTTCTACCCAATATAGCATTGTCATCTATATATTGGGTAGGTTTGTAATAACAAAAAATAAATAAATTGATAAAAGTAGAATGATATGAAAGTAGGATAAATAAATGAAACTACATTGCTATATATGTTGTATATGGTAAAAGAGTTAATGTATCTATCTGTGGGCTGTGGCACAGGTAAATCTGGAATACATGGATTTGGCATCTTTACGAAACAACCACACAAAGCAGGAGATATGGTAATAAATCCTCACACCTTTCATTTCAAATCCTTCCATTCATTTGTGTATTTGTTACAACTTAGAAGATCTTAATGAATCTATTGCAGGTAATTGAATATACTGGAGAAATTGTTAGACCTCCTATAGCTGACAGAAGAGAACACTTGATATACAACTCATTAGTGGTAAGTAGATTTATTGTTACATGCAAAAAAACAGATAAGGAAAAACAAGTAATTGATTGGGTTGTTAATAAAATTGTTTGCAATGAATGCAGGGTGCAGGGACATACATGTTCCGGATTGACGATGAGCGTGTAATTGATGCCACACGAGCAGGAAGCATAGCACATTTGATTAATCATTCTTGTGAAGTATGTCATTTCTTTTAGTGTAAATGCAAGAAATAGCAATTTCAATTTGTATCTTTTGTTGAATTTTTTCAGCCAAATTGTTATTCAAGAGTTATCAGTGTGAACGGAGATGAACACATAATCATTTTTGCCAAAAGGGATATTGCCCAGTGGGAAGAACTGACATATGATTACAGGTTTTCTTCTCTTCTCTTTCATATATAATATATAATATAATCATCAACACTTTATCTGTTTCTATCTAGTAATGATGCTTTTCTTTTTTTATAAATTTAATATTGCAGATTCTTTTCAATTGATGAACAACTTGCCTGTTATTGTGGGTTTCCAAGTTGTCGAGGTGTAGTTAACGACATCGATGCGGACGTACAAATGGCCAAACTATATGCACCACGCAGTGAATTAACAGACTGGAATGGAGAATAATTTGAGGTTAGAAAACCATCATCATCATCATCATCATCATCCTATCACTATAAAAGATTAAAACTACAATGCTATTGCTATAATTGAAAAAAAAAAAAAAAAAACTTTGTATGATGGTATAATCGAAAACACATGTTTTGCAGTGGGGGTAGATTCTGAGGTCCTGCTTTGCGTGTTGTATTGTTAATTGATGGGCGATTTGTTTCTGGGGCGAAGTGAAAGTTGATGTTTGTCATGTCATGTCATGTGTATGATTTATCATAAATTTAGATTTTATTGTTTTAGATTTATACGGTCTGTCTATATCTTATCATCTAAGAACACGAGGGACTGTACATAACATCTCGAGATACACACTGTTTACTCATTTGGTTCATGGGCAAAATCATCATTTTGTCTGTGGTTAACGGAGGGGGACAACCAAAAGGACCAGATGTGATGGATTTTAAAACTCTAGGGATTGACCGTGCTAAGTTTCTGAAACTATCACAATGTTAAATGTACTGCCAACATGGACTATTCTGTAATTTACTCATAAGTGTTTTTGTAGATGTGTATACTAAGTTATATTTTATAATCCGTGTCTTATTATTATATGAAGCTAGGGGTGAGCATTTGGACCGGACCGGACCGACTCTTGGACTGGACCGGATGAGACTTACCGGGTCCAGGTCCATGTCTGGGTTTTTCGGTTCTTGGACCCCTTTGGACCGGTACAACTTTATATGTATACGGTACAACTTGGTAAACCGTGTTTTTAGGTTTGATACAACTCGTTAAAACGAATATATTGTTGGGTTTGATACGTTACAACTCATTAAAATGAATACTTTTTTAGGTTTGATACGGTACAACTCGTAAAAATGAATACGTTTTCGTTTATTGTGCCATTTGGACCGGTTAAAATTTGATTATTTATACTTTATATCATTTGTTTAAAGGATTGTAACTCATTGAATATAATAACAAAAACAACACAATTATAATTTAAAATCATCTACAAACTCTAAATTACACGTTGGAAAAAAACGCATGTCAATTGGACTTAAAAAAAATGAGATATGTTTGTTTAAAGAATTTCAAAGAATACAAAAGTTTAAATTTCTTACTGAAAAACTGAAACATTTCAGCTTTAATATCTCATCTTTGAAGCATTGTAACTCATCGAATATAATACCAAAAACAACAAAATTATAGTTTAAAATCATCTACTCTAAATTACACGGTAGAAAAAATCGATGTTAATCCGATTTAAAACGAATGAGATATGCTTGTTTAAAGAATTTTGTAGAATACAAAAGTTTAAATTTCTTGCTGAAAAGTTGAAATATTTCAGCTTTGATATCTCATATTTGAAGGATTGTAACTCATTAAATATAACACTAAAAACAACAAAATTATAGTCTAAAATCATTTACAAACTTTAAATTATACGTTGAAAAAAACTGCATGTCAATCCGACTTAAAACGAATGAGATATGCTTGTTTAAAAAATCTTACACAATACATTTTTTTGATAAAATAAGCCGGTCCAAAACCGGTTTTTACCCGGAACCGGGCAACAAGTTTTTGATAAAATCTAAATATGATATCAGTTTCAGCTGTGTTTTGCATATTACAGCTAAACTAGTTTATTTTCCTGAGATTTTTTGTTGTCATGTTAGTTTTTTTAAAAAGCTACCCAAACCGGGCAACAAGTTTTTGGAGTTTTTATAAAATTCTTTTAAATATACCTTTTATAGAGTTGCTCAAATCTCTATTTAAGAGCAAAGTTAATCATCGTACTCTCATTTTGAACCAAACCTCAACAAAAAGAAGATAATGCAAATACGAGTTTGTTAAAAAATGGCATCACAAGTGATCTATTCTAGCTAATTTTTGTAGTATTGAATTTTGTGCTAAACCAAGCTAGCAAATATTGATTAAGGAAAAGGATACCACTTAGCATTCACGCGAATAACAAATACTACCCTTGGTGATCAGACAAAGTAGTAGTGTTGAGAACAATGAGTCGAACAATCACAAATACTACCATATTTAGATGAGTTACTTTCATTAGTTGTAATGTTATAGAATCACAACAATCCGATATGTCACTTCCGACACTAATGTCTTTACAAACTAAAATGGAAAGCTTGTAGGCCAAACATCATAATATGATTTATAGCATTGCATTGGACTTCATTTCCAAGTTTAAGCATTTGGGAGACATCTTGCGTACCTATGAAACACCATAATATGATTTATAGCACTGCATCCAACTATTTAATCGTCACTGTGTCGTTAATATGGTGTAAGTTAGGCAAGTATTTCAACAGTTTCAATGTGCCATAAACTTGCATCGTTCCCCTTAAGTTTAAAATTATGTAATGTTAAGATCTATCATCGAGTTATGTAACATGTTAGCATTTTTAGTGTATTTATGGTAAACATCATTTTACTTATATTGAAGTCGAACAACTTTTATTACTGCAAACATCATACTAAATTAAATATAGGACAATAACTTGATGTTTGGCTATCATCGACCTTACTTGAATAAACATAATTTGACATATTTACTAGTACCAGAGACTAACAAGTTAGACTAGTATGCCGTTGTTGGTTCCATCAACTACATGTTTTAGCTTTTAGTTCCTCTTATTGTGATGGTATACGAGTGTTGTTACGTGGCCGGCCGACTTGACATTTGTCCATCAATGGTATAAGGAGTGCCACTTCCTCGGATACCTCCCATTTTGAGGAATGTTGAACATAATGTATTATCTCTCCGTATGCCTTCCGATATACATCAATAGTGAAGCACGACCATGCAAAAGTATTCCATTTACTATAATGTAAGCTTAACAAAGTCGTTACCAAATGACCGCAAGGTATGTCGGAGCACTGCCACTTTCTACGAGAACATTTTTCAGGTTTGTATCAATGAAAATTCTTATTAGTGGTCACATACTTCAAACAAGTGCCCCGTCATAGGAAGGCTTACGTACATGTAACTCTCCTTTTTAATTTATCATCTACCCATTTGGTGAGACACCCTTTAGTTTTCGCTTCATGTAATGAAAAAATATTTTACTCATACATGTAAGTTAAATCAAATCATTAATGTATGTACATTTGATATTTACCTCCCATTTTCAGGCGTTTCCTATACCACTCTTGCACTGTGCTCCAGAAAAATTCAACTAACATAACAATTGGGTATTTTCATGCATGTTTGGTTAACACGTTCATGGATTTGGCAACATTAGACATCATTACATTATAACATACACCAAGAAAGTACGCCCTTACCCACGTTAATATCCATTTTCATCTAGTTTCTTACATACATTAGGTATTAGACAACGTAACACCACCAATTTTCATGGAAGTCAGATTGCATGTACTTTATCATGTATTCTAAAAAAAATTATATGTTGTCTTATTCTTTTCGACTTAAATCGTAAATTCATGGAGATATGGTGAAAATTGTCACAACTAGCATTTTAGATAGGAAATTCTAGTCTCATGTAAACATCATCTACTGTGATACTTGTAACCCTAATTTGATATTATACACTATGCTCATTCAATGACAACAAACTTAATCAATGTTCACAAGTAAAGTTCAAAACCTTATACTAAGCATCTCATATAGTCAACTAAGGGTTGAAAACCCTAAAAATCCATGTTCAAGTTTAATATGAACTAGGATTCTCTTATTGGGCTTAATGAATCAATAAACCTTCAACTTGACTATTTTGGGCCAAGGAACCCTAATTGGGCTCTAATTGAAACCACATTCATGAAACTAAAACATTTTTGGCCATGTGGGCCTAGAATAGTTCATATAATCTCTAATGGGCCATGTTGGGCCATAAATGATTTCATTGGCCCTAATGGGCCGTAAACTACTCCCTTGGGTTTCATTGGGCTGTGAACTTCCATAAAGGCCCAATGGGCCGAAAAATATTCATCTTGGGGCCTCATGATTTCGAACTAAGTCAAGGAATGGCCCAAACTATTTCAATTATTTCTCCAAGCCCATTCTCGGCCCAACTAATTAATGAAAAAAAGAGGGAAGATTCAAACTTGCAATTGCCACCTCATTGTTGCATGGTGGACTTCCATGCTATAATACACCAAATATCAAGACACTTCTCATACATCCATGCAACATCACCTCAACATTTTCCCTCTCTCTTCTCTCTTCATTTTAACTCTCGCCCATAAGGGCCTTCATCACCACCCTTACCTTTCATCTTCAAACTCAAGAACTCTCTCTCTTTTTCCTCTCTAGCACAAGAAGCTCTCCCCTTCCATCCTTCTAATTTTCGAGAATTTCAAGGGCACACCAAGATCTCTTCATCAAAGCCCATCACTTTTGGTAAGTTTTTGGTTAGACTCCATAGTTTAACTTCAAGTTTACACCTTAAATCTCTTCTTAACCCACATTATTTTATGATCTATGCTCTTAGAACACATTAGAGCTCGAAAATCATCCCAAGAACACATCTAGGGCCGAGATCTCCTCATTTCTTCACCAAAAACTGAAAACATCAAAGCAATGTGAGTTCATACCCCCTTGATTTCGGTTTTACATTGTTTTTGGGGGAGAATACAAGTTGCTATGTGTTAGATCTATGTGTATATGCATGACTATGTGTGTTTTCATGAATTATTTGGTGATTATGTGTTGTTTACTTCATAAATCTAAATATATGTTAAGAATATGAAGTTTATCACTTGGATCTACATAAAAACCTTGAGAAAAGTATGTGTTATCACATATAATACATGTAAACTTGTAGATCTGGGATTTATACACTTAAAATAGCAAAAACAAGTGTTGTGTACAAAGATGGATAACTTAAACTCAAAAATCAGCCTTTGACAAAAAAGTTTTGGTCCAATCTCGAACTGTTTTGACCACCTTAATGGTAATATTTTTCAAAACTGTTTTACATGCAAAACGTTCAGGTTTATACCTTTAAAATGACTACCCTCACGTTTTCATACGATTTTTCTACAATTTTTGGCAAATTTTACAAAACGGCCTATCATATTTGAAATAATCTCGGACCAGCCTGTGAAGGTGAGCAATTTCACACTGGATAGAGGCCATTAAAAATTATGAGAAAATATTTGAACAAAGTAGACAAAATTTCCAAACTTCCAGAGTTTACGGATCCAAATTTCGACTCACGATGATGTTTCTACAAATTTTCCAACAACCGTGTCAGAAAAGTCAAAAAAAACCAGAAAAATGTGTATTTTCACAAAAATCAAGCCAAAAATGATATTTTTGACAAAAATGGGTTAAAAATGTTATTTTTACCAAAAACTAGCCATAAATACAAGTTTTGAACAAAATGGGGACAAAAGTATTATTTTTACTAAGATTGGGCCTTAATTGTAAATTTTTGACTTATTGGGCCAAGAATGTCATTTTTACAAAAAGTGAGATTTTTATGCTAATTTGGTAAATAATTTGGCTAATACTAGAAAACAAATAACAAACGGATTAATTTTGTTATTCGTATAATATTGG